CACCTTCCTGTCAGTGCGGTAGCATCAGCCTGACACCGTCAGATGTGCCCTCAGTTGAACCAACAGAAGGAACTCTGAATGGAAATCGGAGTTCAGCTCCACAATCAGCCCAGGAGAAGTATTTTCCAATAACATCCTGTTCACAAAGTCATCTTCCTCTTACCTGACCCCTGCGTCACCAGTGGGCTGGACAGAGTGACCTTGGGGACCGACAAGTGCTGTGCGTATTGCCCATGGTGCGTGCCCTTTTCCCTAACTCAACATCCAGGAAAGGAGCAACTGCCAATTATGAAAAATGGTCAGACAGAACCCTGCCAGTCTGTCCCCAGTGCAAAGGGAATTCTCCTTGTAAACCAATGACAGCTAGTGCTAATAGAAAGGGCAGGAGGGTGCAGCCCGGCCCTTGCAGGGACCCCAGGGACCTACACCAAGTGCCCTTCTGAAGGGCAATTTCAGAACACACAGCTGAGAGCCCCAACACCCTCTCATTCTCTGGCCTTGTGATGTGGAACTCTGTCATCATCAGGCACCTGTTGTGGAATCTCTCAAGATGGGAGCCACAGGAAAACAAGTTCTCAAGGCTTCAGAAGCTGCCTCCTAACAATTATTGACAACAAAATGTGTGCATGCTGCCCTTTGTTACAATAAGCAAACTCTGGTGCTGTGAAGGATTTAATAAAGAAATTCCTGCTCTCCAGGCTGTTGTGACCTAGTTAAGAAGGAAAGACATTTGCTTTAAAATTACACTTCGTCTCTTCAATCACAGATTTTCCCAAGGCCAAAAACACAGTCCCTGACTACATGAGGAAGGAGAGTCCCAAGCCAGTTTCCCTAAACCTCAAAGCCAACGTTTCCCTTAAATACCCCACACCTCAAAAATGTCCTAAGACTCAAGGTCCCTCGTAGCCCTGGCCCCAATCTAATCTCCTCCCTCCTCCTGGCAGGTCTGTGCCTGTGGCTGCAGAAAAGGGGAAACGGGTCCTTTTCTACTGTGTCCCCCAGTACTGAATGACCCTGCTGGTGGCTACCTTTCTCCATCTCAACATCAGCACTGGTTGACATTTCTTTGCTGTATTCTTTGCATTTTTGCCTATTGAGTCAGTGGATTTATTTTTTAATTTTGTTTTCTCCAGCCTCTTTGAGGTATGACTGACAAATAAAAATTACAGCTCCTTGGGCCAGGGATTTAGCTCAGTGGTGCCGCCGCCTGCCTCCCAAGCCCAAGGTCCCAAGTTCGATCCCTGGGACCAAAAAATATATATTACAGCTCCTTAAGGTGTACAATGTAATGGTTTGGTGTAGGTCTACACGATCATATCAAGCTAATTAACACATACATCCCCTCAGGTTTGGGGGGGGAGGGTGAGGACAATTAATATCTATTTTTTTTAGCAAAGACTCAAATATATGATACAGGGTAACTAGTCAGTTACTGTGTATCGGACCTCCCCAACTCTCATTTTAGAACTGCATGTTTATACCTTTTCAGCAACACGTCCCAATATATCTCACCCCTCTCAGGGCCCTGAGAAGCATGTATGGAAACAGGAGAAAAAACGCACTGCTAACTTTTATCTGTGTATTTCCCATACTCTGTTTTAAATCCTCAATGGGCCAAGATGCGGTAGAAAGTTCTGCGTGATGCTCTGAGGCTCAGAGTACCGCCCCTAAATTAGTAACCTGAGCGCCACCTGGCGGTCTCTAGACATTCAGCGCCTCGGGCCCTGCCCAGCCGTGTGCACTTGGGCGCCCCAGGACATTTCAGAAGCCCTGACAGAATGCAGAAGACCCGGTAGCAGAGACTCTCCAGGCGCTTTTACACACGGATGCATGAACACCATGCTAGGGACTCCGCTGTCGTCGGGGCAAAAAGCAGCCTGGGCATTGGGGATTGTCTAAAGCTTCCAAAATGACTCTAATCTGCAGCAAAATTTGAGAACCCCTGGAGAAAGCAGGGCGAGTGGCAGGGCTTCTTCGGAATTTGGGGAGGAAGGCACGTGCGATGGTTTGCTGGACAGAATGGAGCAAGCGGGGTAGAGTCAGGGAAGCCAGCATTTCCCAGGAGCCCATGTGAGAGCAGGTGGACTTGGAGAGGCGCGATGACCGCACACAGAGGAGAAGCGAGTCGTGCTAGTGTGCTAAGGCTGTTGTACCAAAGTCCTGCAGTCTGGGTGCCTTAGGCACAGATAAGAATTGTCGCACGGCTCTGGGAGCTGGAAGTCCAAGATGCGGTCGGTACAAACTAGGCATTTATAGCTAAATGGATGCATATTGAGGCCATAATCTTAAGTGAAATAAATAGCACACACATGTGTAAATACCGAATAGTTCTCTAGTGTGAGAAACTGAAAGTGTAAGTAAGGATTAAAACGAATAATTGATAATTTGAAATAGGAAGAAAAGGTCCAAAGGGGTAGGGGAAGTGGGAGGGGGAGGGGAAAGGAAAGAAGAGAAAGGAAAAATTATGAGAAAAGAAAACAAATGAAATCAAAGTTTATGTAAATAGGGAAGGGTGGAGAGGGTAAAGGGAGGGCAGGGGAAAGGGGAAAAAATAAGAACCAAGATACATCATGTATAGGTATAAGCACCCAATGATAAATGTAAATGTATTGTATACCTAAAATGTGCCAATAAAAGAATTTAAGGAAAAAAAAAAAGATGTGGTCAGTAGGGCTGGATTCCCCTGTGTGTATCTTTGTGCAGGCCTCCTTTAACTCCAGTCACTGGGTCAGAGGTCTACCCTGATGATATCACTATAACTTTGTTACTTCTGTAAACTCTACAGCCAAATATCTAGGATCTGGGGGCTCAACATAGAAATTTTAGGGGAGAGAGATAAATTCGATCTGTAACACACACGGAAGGAAAAATATCTATGCAAGATCAACTCTTCACACTAGCAATAGCCAAAGTGGGCTGCCTGGGTTGCCTTCCTGGGTTGATACATCATACAGGGCAGATGTAGTAAATATGAGACTAAAGCAGACCTGCCATAGAAGAGAAAATTGGGAAAAGAATTGTGTTTAAATTCGGGGGGGGGTTTCCATCTCAGCAATGGCAGTTGGTTTAAACATATCAATTCACAGAGCTGAGATTTGTAGCCCATGGTATAATATTAAAAAGAAAATATGTCATCTTTTATATATCAAAATAACTACCACAGCCAACAGAGACATCCACAGGCCCCAACTGAATGAGCAGAAAATGAAATGAATTTAAAAGCTGAAGACACTTGATTCAACCCCCTAGAGGCCAAGCTCCAACAGCAGCCAGTGGGCTTCAGGCCATGGGCTCACACCTGTGTTCAGGGAGCAAGGGTGCTGCTAGGGTCAAGAGCAAAGGCTTCAGAGGTCAAGGCAAGATATGCCATCACCCTCTATGCACATCTGGCAACTGGTCCTCTGGCAGAGGTTGGGCGGATGTTCATTGACATGGTCCTGCCTCTCTTTACCCAACAACAGAAGGAAGTCAGCTCTGTCTTCATTTCCGTTCTTATCTTCTAGACATAGAGATAGCTGCACGGTGTTTGGAATGTTAAATGTGCTCTGATGCCCATATCAAAGGCTTGGTCCCCAGGTGGCACTGTTTGGAGATGATGGAAGCTTCAGGAGGTAGGACTTCATGAAAGGAGATTGTGAGATCCTGGCCCCTTCCTTCTCTTTTTGCTCCCTGGTCATGAGATGAGCTGTTTTGCTCTGCCACACACTTCCATCCTGATGTGCTGCCTCCCCAAAGGCCCCAAAGCAATGAGATCTACTGACTGTGGACTGAACCTTCAAAACTGTGAACCAAAATAAACCTTCTTTCTTTATAAGCTGGTTGCCTCTGGCATTTCATCACAGTGATGAAAAGCCAAGTAATATAGACTATGAAGAGCAGTGGTTCTTAAACCACTGGAAAGTTTGTTAAAACATAAATTTCTAGGACCCATCCTCAGTTCCCAGTTTAGCAGGTCTGAGTTGGGGCCACATAATTTGCATCACTAGCAAGTCTCCAGGTGATTCTGGGCTGAGGACCACACACTTTGCTAGAGTTATGCACTCTCTCTCCCTCTTGTGACCAGTGATAAACGTCTGAGGAACACCTAGCCCAGTCTGGGACCATGACATGTCACTGGCCTCTGCATTTAGATCACTATTGGTTGAAAATAAAGTTCCACATCACTTGCTCTCATGCTCTAACTACCTGAATCAAGTGGCTTCAACTTTTAAATTCTTTCAGGATTTAAATTAGCAAAGCAATAGGGCAATGTCTTAGGAATGTTCTCATCCCTGGGACACAATACCTGACACCCACAAGTTGAAGAAGGAAAGGTTTATTTTAGTTCATGGTTTGTAGAGGTTCGAGTCCATAGTCAGCTGGCTCCAAGGCAGGGGAGCATGGCAGAAAGCATGGCAAAGGAGAAACAGTCCACGGCATGGTAGACAGGAAACAGAGAGATCAAGGGAAGAAGGAAACAGATAAATCCTTCCAGGCCACATCCCCAGTGACCACCTCCTCTGACCAGGTTTCACCTCCCAACCTCACTTTAGCTATAAATGAGCATGATCAAAGATATTTTCACCAATACCAAGTACCTAACAGGATTTTTTTTAGTATAAAATGCAATAATACATGGAAAAATGCCTCAGTTGACCCTAAAGTACAACCTCTGCATATTGCTATAAGAAATGTTCTCATGTGGATATGAAGAGTTATGTCACAGGGGGAATAATAATGTGATAGAGATATTTAAAAGGATATACAAATATGGGAAAATCTGCAAAGTATACAAGAAAAAGGGAAATGGCAAAATAATACATTCTGAGATATTTAATTCTTTTTAATCCTCATAGATATGAGCACAAATACATTAGAAAGGGCCTGGTATAATCCATACCAAGGTAATAAGAATCATTATTTCTGAGGAGAGGCAGGCAAATGCATGGAAGGGAATCTCAGCTTGCCATACAGTTAGGTGCAGCTTTGGGCTGTTGCCTTAGCAACAAGTGCAGGCGTTTCCAAGCCCAGGGAGGCCCTGATGTTCCCAGCAACCACCCTGGGGATCAGGTCATCCAACCTGGGTACAGAGTTTGACCAATGAAGGCAGGAGACAGGAGGAGGTGCTTCAACTGTGCCTGGTTCCCTAGAGATGTCCTGCAGGACCATCTGGATCCTTTATTTTTTGTGAACCTGAGGCTTACTAGGTAACTCCCACCTAACATTTAACCTTCCTTCCTCAGGTCCCTCCCTCAGTCTTGCTTCCCTAGGCTCCCACACCCCTACAGCCAGCATCAGCACAGTAGCTGTCCAATTTTTTCCAAGGACATGTTACCATACACACAGGTTCCCTTTTTATCAGTAATGTACAGTATTTAGATGATACTTCTGTAAGGATAAAACAAGATGGAGAAGAGAGAGGTGCTGGGTGCATTACCAAGATCAATATCAATATTGTGATTATTTAGGGTGTTTTGCTGGAAGGGTGATGAGGGAGAGCATACATCATTATTTTTCAGGTGTCCCCAAAGGCTTCTAGGAACCCAATCCTCCTACTGTATTTCCCTGAAAATAAGACCTAACTGGAAGATGAGTGCTGATTTTTACCACGGTGACGGCACGCATCAGGCAGATTATGCCTCACTACTCTCTTGCTAGGTGGCTGCTCTGTAAAGTATGGTGATTGGGATTGGCATGTTTGATCTCTGGTTTTCAAGGCTGATTATTTTTTGGTGAGGTCTTATTTCCAGGGAAACAGGATACGTCTACCACATGGCATGGCATGTTTTCATTTCCTTTCCTTGGGTCCCACACCTCTCAGAGTCACATCAGCGGAATCAGACCCTTGTAGGTTTTATCACCTGCTCCAAAACCTCAGAAGCAGCTACCCTGTCTCCTCATTCTTCCCCTCTGCTCCTGAAAATGTATGTGTAGCGTGTTGGGTGTGTGTGTGTGTGTGTGTGTTGGTAATATATCGATTTAACTGTGCTCAAAGAAACAGTCCCAAGGAGTGTTACCAGGATTCCCCTTCACTTAGCACGAAGCAGAGTCCTGAGCTTTTCCTGAGATGGGGCAAAGGATGGGAACAGAGAGGTAGAGAGTTCAGCAAGTCTAGCAGGGCCGTGGCCTCCCCACTCCTTCCCACAGCAAACACTCCAGAAGCGGAAGATGCTGAAGGTAATATGCAGAAGATGCTCCAGGTTATAAGAAAGTAAGGGGCAGTGATGAGAAGCAAATTTATAACTTAGTGGCTAAAAGATATTGTGTGTTGCAGAATCAGACTTCCCATGCAGAGTCCTGGCTGTTCTTTGCACTGACGGCTTCATGATGGCTCACGAGGGCGGGCAGGCTGGAGCCACAGGCTTGCCTCTCTCAAGTGTTCTGGGCACAGTTAGAGTGCAGCATTTTACCTTCAGGGACCTGCCTGTCCATGTTCTGTGAGTGATACAAAGGGGAGAGTAGAGTCTTTTGTAGGTATTGTTTGTGTTGACCCAGAAAATTGCCCTTTTTTCTGGCTTAGGAATTGTTGGAGAGACTAAACAGCCAAGGAGCTGTGAGAAACCGAGGCCTGGCTCTAATGTGAGAGAACACTGGGTCTCTCCTGGGCAAGAATCCTGAGTCAAACACCCTCCCACTGAACTGACTTCTAGGAGCTTCACTGAAAGATTCGTCAAAAGAGAAAGCTTAGCCAAAAGGAGTTTAAATAAGAAAGGCCTAGGATTGTTTCTTTGGTTTGATTTGATTTCGTTTAGTTTGGATGTTTTAAGGGTTTCTTTTTTTACTTTATGAAAACATGAAACAAAATTTCATGACAAAACAGTGAGAGAATAACAATAGTTAATACATTGTGTATCATTATCTTCAAAGTAGTTACTCAGAGTACAAGACACAGACAAAAAAGATTCTTACAAAAAAGAAACAAACAGATAATAACACAGAACTTTCTTTTCAACGAAGATAAACTAATAGTACAAATGAAACTAATCAGCATATATATTAAAATATTTTTGAAACAATTGAATACATGATTTGGGGGAGTATTTGAACTTCTCTGACTTCCTATTTATCTCTCTTCTATTTTGCTGTATACTGCAGGGATCCACACATACCTGTGTTTATAGCAGCATATGGTTTTTCTGGGCATGGTCAGACCTGTTCAAAAACTTAAGCTTAGAGACTGCTCTCTAGATGCCTCACAAATCCAATAATGTGGTATTTTGTAGCAATATTTCTGTAACTATGTTTGAGCATCTCACCTTCTTTGTGGGTTCTTTCAGGAGTTTGGAAAGTGCTCCACCAGAAAGCTACTCCATATCAATTCCAAGGTCATCCTTCTTCTGCCAACCTCTGCCTCCCTCGGCCCCGCCCTGCCCCAGTCACCTACAGCTGCACCTCATCCAGTCCCAGAGCCAATGATGCCTAAGGAAGGAAAATGATTCAGAAGAAGGAACCTGGGATAAGCTGTGTTGCTGCTGACATGAGCCTGCAGTGAATCCAGCACCTTCACACCTGCTAGGTCACGACCTTCTGTCTTCCCTGCCCCTAACGCTTCCTCTGGGGGACTGGGGCTGCAGTCCCCTCAGTCAGGAGCAGGGGGCTCACTTTCTAACTGATAGATTATCTAGAACCCAATACCCTGCCCATCCTCTTTGTAAGATCTGTCAATAGCAACACCATCCCCGCTCACTCACAGCTCAGAGGTCCTCAGTGTCACTGTACACAGGTACACCCGGAAGCTTGTGAAAAGTACTATCCCCACCTGTGGATTCAGATTTGACCACTCATCCCTTTTGACATCCCAGCTGGCTTTGCAGCTGTGCCAACCAACCCATGACATCGACAGTCCTTCCACATCCCTCCTATCACATTGAAAGCATCCTTTATTGCAGGACATGTGGTCTCTGGCAACCTACCAAGACTGTAAATTGTGCCAGACTTCCAATTGCAGTACAGATGAAGGCTTCTACATATATTGGGCTGTTAACAATTTTTATATATGATGGAATGAATAGTAGCCTTTAACAAAGGAGGAAATGCTCCCATCTTCATTTCACATCTACAATGTGAGTGAACCCGGAGGACATTATGCTAAGTGAAATAAATCAGGCACAGAAAAGACAGATCATGTATCTCACTGATATGCAGGATCTTATAAAAAATGTGAATAAATCAAAACAGAGAGTAAAATGGTAGTTACCAGGGGATGGGGGTGGGGAGAGGTAAGTCACAGAGTGACTTATTCAACATGGATTGCATATGTCTAGAAATCTAATGTACAGCATTACAACTATAGCAAATAGTTAACATGTAGTTAATAGTATTATTTTTGAGGGGTTTTTTTTTTGGTACTGGGGGTCAAACTCGGGACCTTGTGCTTGCGAGGCAGGTGGCGGAACCTCTGAGCTAAATCTCCAGCCCAATAATATTGTTTTATATGTGACATTTTACTAGGAGAATAGATTTTAGGTGCTCTTACCACTCACAGTATGGAAGGTATGGATCTGTGACTTCGTTAATTATCATTTCACTGCATTCAGATCTCACTGGTTGAATCAACCAATCAAAATATCGGTGTGTGGAGGGGGGTGTTCCAGAAAGTTTCAAAAAGCAAAACTGGAATTTCCCACACCAAGCCCTACACTGACCCCTCACCCATGAAAAAATGCATGTGCACACCCCGCCTCAGCCTCCTGCCATTTCACGGCCCCTCGGGCTTCCCAGGACTTGTTGTTTGAGCACTGTCTGCCTGTGTCTTGTTCGTCACTGTCACTGGGGTACAGTGGCTGAACGGGCACCATTCTTTTTCTTGTCATTCATTACTCCCTAAACATTACAGTATAGCAACTACTTACATCGCACTTGCATGATATCATGTATTCTAAGTCATCTAGAGCTGATCTGGAACATACAAGAGGATGTGCATAGATCACCTGCAAGCACTGTACCGTTTTGTGTGAGGGACTTGAGCCTCCAGAGATGTTGGTATCCTCAGAGGTCTTCGAGTCAGTCCCTGCCGACACTACCTGTAAAGTATCTCAAAGCATCGTGGTGTACAAGACAATAAAAATAAATTAATGGCTAAAAAGTCAACTATATCTGGCAGTGACAAAAGGCTCATGTAAGGGATATGCACTGTGAAAGAAAAATACATGGATACTTCAAGCCTGAGGAATATTTAATGAACTACAGTCTCACAGAAATAGGCAAATTAGCATAAGAGGCAAAATAGAATCCAATTTTTTTGTATCTGTTTCATTTGGTCTATCTCCATCCTCTTCATGCTGCAGCAGAAAATATTTCAATGTTTAAGTTTAGAAGGAAGTTTCACCCCTGGCTTTATATAGCAGGCTGCGCTGCAGGCAGAGCCTGAACCCCGTCTTGTGGGCAGAGAGCCCGCTGCACCGCAGCCTCTGCGTGCTGGGCGGATCCTGACAGCCAGGGCTGCAATGGCCCAGCTCCATTTCCTCTCCGAGGAGGCGTCCAGGCCTCACCTCCGCCTGGCCTCTTCCCGCCCCTCGTTCCCTGCTGGGCTCCCTTCCTGAGTCTGTCACCTTGATTCACAAGACCTAACACTGGGACCCATATTAGCACGAGAGCATGACAGCAAGCAATACGGTCTGTGGGAAAAGCCTTCCGCTTTCTCCTTTCTCTGCAATTATCACTCAACTGCTTCAGTAAACAACAAAAGTGTTCCACACACACATCATGACCACTTACAACATTAACATAGTCCAGAGGTCAGGAAGGCAAACACAGGTTGGTTTGAGTTTTTGAAATGATTTGCTCTCCCCGGTCAAACTTCCCCTAACCCTTTCTTTCCTGGGCAAAACTGAAGACAAGGGGCCAGGCAGATGTCAAGCTAGCATCTCCTACCCACACAGGAAAAGATGTTAGAGAGACAAAATGAGGAAAAGGCAACGCTGTGTGAGGCCTCTGTCTGGGCGAGGAGGGTGTGGAGTTGCACTTCCCATTGAAGATCTCCAGGAACTCAGCTTCAGGACCTTCCTGGGCCTCTGCCATTTTGATCCGTCCTCCCCGGCCATAAGGCTTATGGATTCTATCTGAATCCAGGCCAAGTGCCAAATAAAGAGTCCTTGATGAATAGCTTCTTGTTCATCTCTTCAGATTATAGTCTTGATTTTGATTAGCCACCCTACTAAGTGGACATAAGTTCTTAGCACAACCAGGGCAGAATAAGAACAGTCAGACCCAACAGGCTGGAGCTGACAGAACCCTTTCAGACCACAGGCCACCATTCCTCACTCCAGGGGCTCATGAGCACTGTACCCTTTGTGGATAGGGCTATAGAGCTGATCATACCCTGGAATCCCTCAATGTCAGGAAACATAGCTTCTAGGCCAATGCTCTCTGCTAATGGGCAGCCGCTCCAGATGAAAAGACATTCTCCATGATCTTGAAATGTGTCCTAAAAGAAGTCATGAGGATCAGTCATGAATGAGCAGATTTTGTGGGCTAGACAATTTCCATAGCTAACACAAAGTTTATAGGTCTGAAAAATTCGAATGGCCATGACACTAGAAAAGTAGCACATATCTGAGAAATGTCCCAGCTGATCTTTCCAAATTCAAATTTAAGAACTATGCTAGTCAAAGAAACTATAGCTCAAGACTGGGTTCAATATCCTGGCAACCAGTTTGCAATTCCTGGACCAAAAGAACAAATAAAACAGGAGAAAAGAATAAATAAGAACCAAGTATTTTGTTCTACACTGGCACCACACACTCGGATGTAAAGTGTCATCCAGACCATGAAAAATGATCCGCATATTTTCAAGATGTTTCTCTAGGAATCAGCATGGGCTCCACCCTCTACCCTCATCTCCTTTGAGGTCAGCAAACCCTTGTGAAACATGTAGCTAACTTTAGAAATGAATTGTGGCTGTGGACAGGAGGGGCTTCTTCTATTGAAACTAATTGGATTGGACATTTTGTTTAATCCATGGACTTGGTGTTATTAGCTTGGTGTTGTAACAGCAGCATGGACCAGCCTGGTTGTAATGACTTAGATCTAAAATGTCCACCAAAACCTCATGTGTATGGAAGGTGATTGGATTGTGGGGTGCTATGCTCATCCACTGATGAGTTCAGTAGCTGAATGTGCTGTTTGGAGTTGAGGCCTGGTTGGAGGTGGTCACTGCGGTATGGCTGGAAGAGTGTACTCTTGTCTTCACTCTGCTCCCTGGTTACCATGAGTTGAGCCACTTTCCTCCACTACCCCCTTTTGCCATGATGTTTCTGCCTTGAAAACAGCTGACCATGATTTCAATTCTCTGAAAACCACGAGCCAAAATAAACCTCTTCCTCCTTTACACTGTGGGTGTCAGGGGTTGGTCAGAGAGAAGGGAAAGTGAGTGATATACCAGTCCTCGGCTATTCTGACCTCCTGCCTGGCAAAGATGGGAATGAGGAGACACATCATTATTTCTCTAGTGGTCTTTCATGTCTATGCCAACTGAAAGTGCCATGAAGAGGCCAACCCATCTCTCACCCTATCATTACTCTTCCCTCTGAGACATGGGCACAGCAAGAGGAGACAGCTCAGGGGTCACTTGCATCAAGACAGATTAGAAGTAGATGGCTCTCAGCACAGGTGCACACAGCTAAAAAGATTCCCACAGCTGCTCCCAACAAAGATGCTGTTGGTCCTTAGAGATGCTGGCTTCCAAGTGCACAGGTGGGAGAAGGGGCTACAGTGGCATGGGGCAGAGCCAGGGAAGGAAGGGAGACTTGGGTCATGCATGAGTTCCATACAGCCTGGTCCAGTAAAGGTCCAGATCGAGGCAGGTTGTGAGGATTTGGGGTCTAAGTAAATAAGAGATTATAGTTCACTGGCTTCATAATATTTTCTTCCCCAAAGATGATGTCAATCAAAGGCACCTGTTCACTTCTTTTTTCTTATATTTTCCAACAGCAAAATATCTCCAAGAATATGGGAACAGGAAGGTGAATAGTTCCCTTGAATGTACATTTTGAGATTCAGTGTGAAACTGTACTGAAAATGCTGGGAAACTGACAGGCACTATGAAGGGAGGGAAGGCAGATGAAGTCAGGTGACAGAAAACTTCAGCCAGGAGCCTTCCTGGTGCCTCCCTCATGACCACCCTGCAGCCCTGGCTCATGGAACTCTGGTGGGCCTTGCAGGGGAGCTGCATCCTGACACCCACCCATCCCTCTGTGTCCCTTGGCCACAGCAGACCAGACCCTGGCAGACACTCAGTATCCATCTGGTCCCTGGGATGTTGGTTCCCTGGCTGAGAGCCTGCACTGTTCCCCAGGCCACCCCTCCATGGCCACAGTGGGAGCCACCACCTCTGAGGTGACTCACCCAAGACACCAATACTGAATATTACTCCAAGGGTTTTGGCCTACAAAGATTTTATCCCAGAAAAATGAGGCTGTGGTTCATAAATGTGTATTGAGACTATTGGGAGAAATGTCAGACTTGATAAGAAACTGAAATGATTAGAAGGCATCAGCTATCAAGGAACCAGAGAGGAGATAAGGAACTACTTGATCAGATAAAGGGGGAGGCTGCTAAGATAAAGGTTAGACAAGAAGAGCTACCGGAACCCAGAAATACTGATCAGTCAAACTCTAAGCTTCCCAGTACTTTCCTGGTCTAAAAGCCAGAACCAGGTGTGGTGGGCATAGCTGTAAACCCAGCACTCAGGATGCTGAGGCAGGAGGATCACCATGCATCGAGGTCAACCTGGGCTTCATTGTGAGTTCAAGGCTAGTCTGAACTACATAGTGAGACCCTGTCTCAAAAAAACCAAAAAAAAGTAAATATATACATATAAAAAGGACATGATTCTATTTCCATGCCCTCTCTGATGACACAGTAACAGGAAACTCACTAATAAAATGCCTCGGAGTCAGTCTACCTTCTTCACTGACATAGCTCCATCACCAACAGGAAAAATCTCCGACTCAATCTTGGTCAACCTAAAACCCATGATCAGTGATCAGTGGCTGGTCCTTACACCCAAGGATGGCGTGTAATTTTT